AAAAAAAAGAAAAATCAGTTCCATAATAGCATCCAAAAAAGTAAATACCTAGGAACCAATCTAACAAAGGATTAAAAGACCTCTATGTTGAAAACTACAGTTCTCTGAAAATGGAGGTTGAAGCAGATACCAGAAAATGGAAGATATCCCCTGCTCTTGGGTAGGAAGAACCAATATAGTAAAAATGGCCATACTTCCAAAAATTTTATACAGATTTAATGCAATTCCAATCAAAATTCCAATAGTGTATCTCACAGAATTAGAGAAAACAATTCTAAAATTCATTTGGAACCATAAGAGACTGAGAATAGCAAAGACAATTCTGGACAACAAAGGAAGGCAAGGGGCATCATCAACAAAGGCAAGGCAAGATTTGAAATTATACTATAAAGCTACTGTGATAAAAACAGCATGGTACTGGCAAAAACACACCGCTGAAGATCAGTGGACCAGATTAGAAGATGCAGAAACAACTCCATACATACTCAGCCACCTTACCTTTGAGAAAGGTGCCAAACACAATCACTGGAAGAAAGATACTTTCTTTGATAAGTGGTGCTGGAAAAACTGGCTCTGCACATGCTGAAGATTAAAGTTGGACCCATATCTTTCACCATGCACTAACTTCAATTCAAAATGGATCAAAGATCTAAATATTAAAACAGAAACATTAAATCTTCTGGAAGGTAGAATAGGTAAAACTCTTGAAGACATTGGTGTAGGCAAAGACTTTATGAATAAAACTCCAATCACACAGGAACTATCACAAAGAATCAACAACTGGGATCTCATCTTATTAAAAAGCTTCTGCATAGCAAGAGGAACCACCAATAGAGTGAAGAGAAACTCACAATGTGGAAAACAATGTTTGCCAGCTGTTCCTCAGACTAAGGATTTCTATCGAGAACATATAAAGAACTCAAAAAAAACCACATCTCCCAAATTTAAAGACTCACATAATAAATGGGCATCTTAGATGAGTATACTTTGTCAGACAAAGAAATACAAACAGCCAATAAATATATGAAAAATATTTTCATATATATGACATCACTGGTCATTTGATAAGTGCAAATTAAAACAGCACTGTTGTAGTTTAGGGTCTAAAGGGGAAACAATACAGGATGCATAATTTATAGGATTATTTTATAATAGTCACCCAAAGAGTCATATACAAAGAGAGTGCAGGAACTCTGTCCACACACTAAGACCAAAAGAATCTAACTGAGGGCCTGTATCCTGCACCAATGTTTTACATGAGTCCACCTAAAGACCTAGAGCCCAAAACAGTGCCCCCCATGAATCCAACTGGAGGCCAAGAGCCCATGACAATGTCTCATGCAGGTCTGTTTCAAGGATCTGTGCTGGGAAGGCCCAGAGATCAGTCATGGAATCTAGAAAGTCTGCACCAGTGAGGTGAAGGATCTGTGCTAGCAGGCTAAGGGATCTGCACTGGAGCCAGGAAGCAATGCTCAAAGTAAGAACCAGAGCTCCCCTGAAAGATACCACAGCCATCCTCAGCAACAGCACGGTTCTGAGCTCTGCCAATGATGAGAATAGCCAAGTCTACATCAGAAAAGCCAGCATGACAAACCTCTCCAGGACATTGAACAGTGCACTGTCTTCCCCTCTGGAGCCAGGAAGCGACACTCAAATTAAGGACCAGAGCTCCCCCAAGGTGAGCTGTAGCCATTCTCTGTGACAGCAAGGTCCCAAGCTCATTTAACAATGAGAACAGCCGCATTCATATCAGAAAAGACAGCCTGACAAGGTCCTCCAGGAAAACCAACAGCTCCCTAACAGCTTCCTCTCTTCTTCTCAGTTCTGCCTCTTACTCTGCCAGCAACAGTCCTGAGGTGGGCCTCCCACACCCAGCACCACGCTGGTTCAGTTCAGCTGGGTGTTACAAGTTGACCGTCAGTTATCAATCCACTACAAGCAGTGAGATCCCATCTCATCCTGGAAAGAATGGGTATTATCAAGAAATCAACTAATAACAAATGCTGGAGGGGCTGTAGGACAAAAGGAACCCTTCTCCACTGTTGGTAGGAGTGTAGACTGGTGCGACCACTGTGGAAGTCAGTGTGGAGATTCCTCAAAAATCTAGGATTAGAAATCCCATTTGACCCAGCTGTTCCCTTCTGGGTATTTTCCCAGAAGAATAAAAAAACATCGCACCACATAGCAACACAATGTATCATAGCTAGATCTTGGAAACAACCCAAAGACCCATCAACCAAGGAATAGATAAAAAAGATGTGTTCTTGTTATACAATGGAGTACTACTCAGCCATAAAGAAAATAAACTAGAGACTTTTATAGGTAAATGGATGCAACTCAAGACTATACTCATAAGTGAAATAAACCAGACACACATGTGTAAAAATCATACTGTCTCCCCAGTTTGAGAAGCTCAAAGAGTAAATAAGATCCAAAGTATACAATAGATATTGTAGAATGGGCAGAAACTTCAAAAGGAAGGAGAAACTGGGGTGGGGGAATGGAAAAAGAAGGAAGAGAAAAGCAAAAAGAACCAAAAATCTCTCTCCCTGTGTCTCTATCTGTCTGTCTCTCTGTGATAGTAACACTACTCATTTCTCATTGAAAAGGAAGGTTTGTGCTAATATTGTTTGGACAATTAAATGCTGATATCTGGTACTTTGAGTAGCTAATTTAAAGATAACAATACACAATGTATTAACCATTGTTACCCTCCTATTAACTTGTTTTGAGATTTTTTATTTTTTTTTGTCTTTAAAATTAAAAAAAAGAGAAAGGTCAGGGATACAGCTCAGTATGAAGGCCTTGGGTTCAGTCCTCCATACTGCAAAAACAAACAAAAATTCCAAACTCTTCAGCATACTTGTATGTGATGGAGTGGAATTTTAGGTGCATCGTGACAAGTAGTACAATGCCATAATTTATCAACCCAGAGCACGACTGGTCAGCTTTCCTGTTGCTGGGACAAATTACCCAATAGCCACAACTTAAAGGAGTTGAGAGTTTCATTTGGCTTGTGGTTTCTGAGAATTCAGTCCATGGTTTGCTGACTCCAAGACCATCATGGTGGCAAGGTGTGATGTAAAGCTGCATAGTACATGGCAGCCAAGAAGCAGATCAGGGGAACATCACCAGAGAAGAAGGGGCTAGTGACCATATATTGTACCCAAGGTCATGCCTCCATAACCCACCCAGACACACCCAGAAGAGTGCTTTTACTTATCCCCAATTAACAATCAAATTGACAGTTAAGCTTAACCATCACAGGCACCTTATTATTTTTATCTTTAAATGTGGTCAGCTTTTTAAAACCTCTTTATATTTTTTGTCTGTATAATTAACACAGGTTAGTGATAGTTTTAAGAGCTACCTACCTTGGTTCCACTGTATACAACCTTTTTTCATTCTTTGTCTCCTCTGTTCTATTTTAATCCATTTTTGCCTGCCTATTTTTACTTCTTTTTTTCTCCTGGAATCCATGGCCCATCGCTTCAGTCACTCCCCTGCCTGTGTCTTAAACTTACTGGACCTTTGTGCTTATGTCATCTCCCATCAGAGGCCTAGTTTAGTGTAGATCAAACATGTGGCTGCCCCATAGTTGCATCAAGCCTGGTAAGTCTTGCTGGAGAAAAGAAAAAAAAAAATCCCACTTGTTCAAGTGGAGTCTAAGCAGCACCTCAGAATTCTGTTTCTCGTTTACTACCGCATTTTGCACTGCAACTATTTTAAACCTTCACACAAACTTATAGACAGGAATTGTTCAGCTTCCTGCCATCAAATATAGATCAACCACTACAGGCTTTCTTTCCCTTCTGGTAGAGCAGAGCTCAGCTTTTGATCAGTGCATCCCAGCCTTTGATGTCCATATAGTGCTGAGTGCCTGGGATCGGCCTCAGTCGCAGAATGTGGTGCATAGGGCTGGGCTGGGGTCTTAGATTCTGCATTTCTGGCTGGTGGTGACTGGATTGCCGTACATGGATGACACTTCCAGTACAAGAATTCTAGATCCTGTTTCTTTTGCCTTCTCAGGAATTGTGCTTTCTTTTCAGCTTTTTCATCCTGCAGCCTCCTCCCTAGTTGCAGTTTAACATCCTCAGCTCTTTCCTACCTTTAAAACAGAACATAACTGTGGTAACAAAACTATACACACTCTTTTTCTTCCCTCCATGGGAAAACTGTCTTTCATCTGCACCTCATACTCCTGCTTTGATACCATTTTCTTCTGTTCCCTAAAATTTGCTTTGTGGTGCACACCTGTAATCTCAATGCCCTGGGAGGCTGAGGTAGGAGCACCACAAGTCCTGAGGCCAACCTGGGCAACTTAGTGACAAGACTCTGTCTCAAAAATTTATTATTTATTTATTTTATTTATTTATTTTTTTTTTCCGGTACCGAGAATTGAACTCACGATCTTGTGCTTGCCAGGCAGGTGCTGTGCTGCTGGGCTAAATCCCCAGCCCCCAAAATTTAAAATAATTTAAAAAAACAAAACAAAACAAGTGCTGGGGATGTACCTTAGTGGAAGGCCCTGAGTTCAATCCATAGTACTGCAAAAAAAAAAAAAAGAAAAAGAAAAAGAAGAAAATTGAAAAATATATAAGATTAAATGGTGCCAGCGCACCTGTGGGCATTTGTCATTCCTACTTGTGACCAGTTTGCAGTGTCTGACCTGCTCATCACTCCTTCCTTCTGGAAATGCCCCCTTTTGTGGCTTCTTTCTTGGTAGCCTCCCTGTGTTCCTCCTTGGCCCTTGGCCATGCTGTGGGTCTCCTGTGCTCGATCCTTCCCCTCCATAGTGTTTTCAGGTCACTGTCTCAGCACTCTTTACACTGGACAGACTTTCTCTAGAAATCTACAGCCATTTGTGCGGCTTCAGTGACCGTCTGAACTGATTAATTATGTATCTATATTTGTAGCTTGGACTTCATTTGACATTTTTCTTGGCTGTCTCAAAGCCTCCAACTGGAAATCTCCAAAGCAACTCATTATTCCAACACCTGTCTTTGCCACTACCTGGTAAATCTGCTGTTCTTCAGAAGTCATCTCAATAAAGAAAATGCCCGTGTTTATCTAATTTTCCAAGCCAGAAGATAGCAGATCATTCCTATGCACCCTTCCTACCTTTCTTCTGCATATTCAAATCAGTTACCCGGGCTTGTGATTCTGCTTTGAAATTCTATCTCAAATGTGCCCACTCTTCTCCACCCTGATCCACACACACACATTCTCAGGCTCCTGGTGTACCCGAGCATCACCGGTACCAGCCTTGCACATCCCCTGGATTCCTCTCTGTGTTAGTCAGCTTCGCTGTTGCTAGGACACCATACCTGACACCCACAGCTTAAAGGTTTCATTTAGGTCATGGTTTTAGGAGACTCAGTCATGGTCAGCAGGTTCCAAGGCAGAAGCCTCATGGTGGTAGGGGGCAGCATAGCCGAGGTACTTAGCCCAAAGCGGTTGGGGAGCAGAGCAGGGGAACCATGCCAGAGAGGAAGAGCAAGAGGCTATAGAGAGTACTCAAGGTCACATTTTAGGACCAACGCAGACCCACCCAGGAGAGTGCTTTACTGATCTGCTAGGCATTTCTTAACCCAGTGAACTTGGCACATTAGGATTAGCCATCACACTCCCCAGCATACCATCTACGTTCCAGGCAAGGTAACTTATTTAAAGTGCAAACCGTATTCCATCGTCCTCCTTCCGTGGTGCCTCCTGCCAGATGAAGTCAGTGAGTCCATTCCCTGGCTCACTGTGCTCCGCACCTAGACTGCTCCTGAGCTCATCTGATGCCCCTGTCCACCCCCTTCCAACTTCAGTCCTGCAGTTCTTTTCTCAGTTCCCCGCGCATGCCGCATGCACTCTCGATTTTGCTTTTTATTTTGGATATCCCGAGTCCCCGCTGCCTGGAATATTTTCCCTCTACCTAGTCTATCTAGCTTATGCTTAACTTTGAAAGCTTCAACTGGGCTTTTCTTGACCTGCTTTTAACTTAAGGTTTTGTAACTCAGGGATCAAATCCACTGCCTCGCAAATGTTAGGCAAGTACTCTAGCATAAACACGTGCATTAGCAAGTGATGGGTCAGCTACTACTGAGCTGTACCCTCAGCTTTCTGTCTGTCTCTCTCTCTCTCTTTCTTTCTTTTTTTTTTTCTCTCTCTCTTTATGTATCTGTCTACCCATCTGTCTATTTCAGAAAGAGGATTGAACCCAGGGCCTTCGCACTGAGCTACATCCCCAGCCTTTTTATTTGTTTTTTATTTTGAGACAGGATCTCACTAAGTTGCTAAATTGCCTGGGCTGAGCTTCAACTTGACAGTTCTTCTGCCACAGCCTCCCGGAGTGCTGGGATTACAGATGGGCACCACCGTGCCCAGCTTAACTTTTTTATGGTAGGGGGATCAAATCACAGGCTGTGCACATGCTAGCCAAGTGCTCCAGCAAGTGGTAGCTGAGCTACCCCTGAGCTACATCCCAGGCAATTTAATTATTATGATAAAATATGCATAAAATTGTTATTTTAACGATTCATAATAGTACAGTTCAGTAGCATTAAGTGCATTTACATTGTTGTTCAGTCATCACCACTGTCCATCTCTAGAACTTTTTCATCATCCCAAACTGAAGTTCTGCGCCCATCAAACAGTAACTCCCATCCCTCCTGCCCCCAGACCTCAGTAACCACTTGTTTTCTTTCTGACTTTATGGGTTTCACTATTCTAGCTACCCTGGACCTTTTATTAGTTGCTCTCACCTCACCTTCCACCTCCTGTCTTGTGAGAAGAACTGTGTTTCTTTTCTTCACTAGGTGCTAGGTCAGAATCTAGCACAGAAGCTGGAATATAATAGGTGCCTGGTAAATAAGTGTGGAGTTGGGCTGATAGAAGCAGCATTTTGGAAGGTTATCTTAACTGCAGTAATTGGTAAGTGTGTTTCTGTGTGTGGTCTGTGCAGGTGAAGATGGTGGCACGTGGTTTCTTGATCTGAAAAGCAAGGGTGGGAAAGTTGGACACGGGGAGCCCTCTGACCGGGCAGATGTGGTGATGAGTATGTCTACTGACGATTTTGTCAAAATGTTTTCAGGTGAGTTTTCAATTTTATTTGTTCACTTGTTGTTCAGGGAAAATTTAGTTCTGATACTTTGCTTTCTCCTTTCCCCAATGCCCAAAACTGGTAAATGTTCATGATAATAGCATCTTTGCAGCTAGTGATATTGAAGAGCACGTACTCTTGGGATAGCTTAATTCTTATTTTACCTCTTCTGCCACTTCTTCCTCATCCAACCCATGGAGAGTGATGTCAGATTTTTTTTTCATAACTGAGATGCTAATAATAAAATTGGGGGAACAGAGAGATAATTCGGAAGGACTCTTAGCTGGGTGTGGTGACACACGCCTGTGATCCCAGCACTCGGGAGGCTGAGGCAAGAGGCAAGTTCAAGGCCAGCCTGGGCTACATAGTGAGACCCTGCCTAAAAAGAAAAAAAGAAAAAGGACTCCTGGACTGAGAAACCTTATTTCCAGTAACACCAGAGGCACAAAAGTCAGCAGCAGCTCACCTCCTGAGTGAGGTTGTGCTTCAGTCTCGCCAGCTGTTGTTCTAGGAAGTACTGCAGCTCCCAGCTCTCCACCATGGCCCAATGTCTCTGACTTCTGTGAAAATCCTAACCCAGGGAACCTTTTGCTTGATATTCTGTTTTTTCCATTTTCCCCTAATAGTGCCAGAAAAATTTTAAGGGCTGTTTGCTTTATTCCCTCCTTTTAGGTCACTATTCCATCTGGTTAGTTAATTAACATAAACTCTGAAAAATTAGCAGCAGTACTCTAAATTTAAGAGTTATTCTATTATAATCTAAAGAACCTCTTATGTAATGAATTATAAATATTTTTCATATGTTGTTGTTTTAATCGTGACAGATAACACCACAGTGTATTCTGTGCCGAGTCTTGATTTCCGGTTCTAATGAAAGATGCTAGTAGCCTACGTTCTATTTCAGTCAATCTTTTTTGTTTTGTTTTGTTTTTTTCCAGTACCAGGAATTGAACTCATAACCTTGCGCTTGCCAGGCAGGCATTGTGCCACTGAGCTAAATCCCCAGCCTCTCAATCAATCTTATATGATACCCATAATTATCAAGTTTGACTTTTCCATTTCCTGTAGTAGTGTTAAATAGTCATTGCACAAAAACTGAAAAGCATAATCTTTTTCCCATCATACACTATAACATTTTTCAATATTAATAGTAACCTCTTTAATCGTTTTTAGTAGTTTAGTGTCTCAAAAACTATTTCTTAAAAAAAAACTTATTTCTTCATAGAGTTTAGACTACTTTGTAAACAAAAAATGCTCAACAAATCCTGGGTGAATATGAATCTTATGTTTTTTAAAACTCAAAAGCCATGTTAAAGTTAGTGTCAACTTCTAAACTGAAATAACAGCAGTTATTTCTAATGTTTATTGTATGGTGATTATGGGTTAAGCGGTACACTTAGAAGTCCTTTGAGATAAAATATTTTTCCCATTGTACAGAAATAGAGACTGAGACTTTGATAAATTAAATAATAAACCCACAGTCTAAGACTAAATGAGTACGTGTTGGAGCTAGGATTTGAATTGAAGCTAACTTCAAAACTCATGCTTTTATCTTGCTTTTCTGATGTGTAAAGGTGAATCAGTGGCTTCTTTTGGGGTAGTGGTGCCAGGGATTGAACCCAAGGCCTTCATACCGACCTACATTCCCAGCCCCACCCTCTTTAAATATTTATGAGATAGGGTTTTGCTAAGTCACTAAATTGCTTGGGCCGGGCTCTAATTTCTAATTCTCCTGGTTTAACCTCCCAGAGTGCTGGGTTAAAGGCATGTGCCACCATGCTCGATTATTTTCTTGTTTTGAGACAGGGTCTCATTATGTCCTCCTGGCTGACCTGGAACTCCTAAGTAGGCTGCCTAGGCTGGCCTTGATTTCACAATCCTCCTGCCTTAGCTTTCTGAGACTTGGAATACAGGAGTACATGACCACATTGACTTCAATGGCTTGTCTTATTTACATAGTATAAACTTGAAACAATGGGCTTTCCCCTTACATCTTACTATGAATATGATAGCAGAGGTCAGCCCACTACGAACTTTTTTGAAAAAACATGTTAGTTTATGGTATTATTTTGTGCCAACAATTTAGGTTGGGAGCAAGTTTGTTTCTTTCATTTTTGCTATTATCTTTGTGCTTTCTTTTATTTATTTATTTATTTATTTTGGTTTTTCTCCTCTACTGGGAACCGAACTCACGACCTTGCGCTTGCCAGGCAGGTGCTTTGCCACTGAGCTAAATCCCCAGCCCCTGTGCTTTCTTTTAAGTGGGTACCCGTTAGACCTTAAAATCTAAGAATTCTCTTTTTAGAAAATGAAGTTGGGGGCTGGGGATTTAGCTCAGCGGCAGAAAGCCTGCCTGGCAAGCACAACGTCGTAAGTTCAATTCCTGGTACTGGAAAAAAACAAAAAAAAAAAAGAAAAGAAAATGAAGTCAGGCATGGTGGCACATGCCTGTAATCCCAGCGTTTGTAATTCCAGTTCTTGGGAGGCTGAGGCAGGAGAATCGTTGCGAGTTTGAGACCAGCATATAGTGGATACATTATAAATACTTACATAAAACAACTAGAAATCAAATGATCATAATCTCTCATTTTGGCCAGTAGAGGCCACTGTATGGTAAAGCAGTAAGACAGAAATCAATTGTAGCCGGGTGTCTAGTGGCATGTCCCTGTATTCCCAGCTACTCGACAGGAGGAGGACCACTTGAATCCAGGAGTTCAAGGCCAGCATAGGCTACATAGTAAAAGCCATCCCATTTCTTTAAAAAAAAGCCCCACCCTCCCACACCCCTGTAAAAGAAATTAAATTATGCAAGATTACTTTATCTGAGGAGATATATATTTGTACACACACACACAGAGGTCATTATAATTGTATGTGATATTTAATACATTTTTAGAGTCGGCCAACAATTACTACAGCCAGTTGAGAATGTTTCCATTACACCAAAAAATACTTTTTGCAATAGATCCGTATTTCCATCCAATCTCACCCTATTCCTAACCAGCCAGTAGCCAGCCAAACACTATCACTTTTTTGTCTCCATACACTTTTTACAAATGGAATTACAAATTACAGATGGAATTACCAAAAATGAAGAAGGACCTCAACTGGTGATATGTGGTACAACATAGATGGATGAATCTCTAAAGCTTTATGCTCTGTGAAAGAAGTCAGAGGAAAAAGACTATAGCTCTTTTTTTTTTTTTTTAATTGAACTCAGGGCCATCACACTGAGCTACATCCCCAGCCCTTTTTTTTCGTTTTGTTTTTTTTTTTTTTTGGTACCGGGAATCGAACTCATGAGTTTGCGCTTCCTAGGCAGGCGCTGTGCTGCTGAGCTAAATCCCCAGCGCCCCCAGCCCTTTTTTGTTTTTTGAGAGACAAGGTCTTGGTAAGTTGATAGATTGTCCAAGGTGGGCTCGAACTCGTGATCCTCCCACCTCAGCCTTGCAGAGTGCTGGGATTACAGGTGTGAGCTGCCACACCTGGCTTCTGTTCCATCCTATTGCTGAGTAATACTCCATTGTATGAGCGTGCCGCATATTGTTTATCCACTTGCCCACTGATGGACATTTGAATTGTTTCAGTTGGGGGCTATAATCAGTATTACCACTCTCAACATTTGCACATGTAGCTGTCTGAATGTGTATTTTCATTCTTCTCATGTTCCTAAGAGTGAAATTATTGGCTCATGCGGTGATTTAACTTTTTAAGAAACTACCAGACCTTGCTAAAGTGACTACACCATGTTAACAGTTCCAGTAGCAATATATGAAGGTTCCAGTTTGTCTGCAGCCTTCCATTACTATGGCTGTCCTATTACAGCCATTCTAGTGCGTACAGAGTGGCGCTCCTGTGGATTAACTTGCATATTATTAATGATTTTGGGTATCTTTTTATGTTTGATATCTGTTTACATTTGGTGAAATGCTTATTCAAAGCTTTTGCTGATTTTTAAATTGAACTGTCTATTTATTGTGGTGTTAGAAAAGAGATTAAGATGGTCTTACTATTACTGTGTGGTAAGATTCTTCATAAATTCTGGATCATGTTTATTAGATATGTGACTTGCAAATTTTTCTCCCAGTCTTTGGCTTGTCTTTTCATTTTCTTAGTGATATATATTGTATTACAAATGTTTTCTGTTTTGATAAGCCCTAATTTGTCATTTTTTCCTGTTATAGTTGATGCCTTTTCCTAAGTAGCTCATTCTTTTTTGTGCTATTGTGAATGAAATGGTTGTCTTTATTTTTGAATGACTTGTTCCTGCTGTACATCCATACAATTAAGTTTTTAATGTTGCTTTAGGATTCTGTGAATTAAGCAGTGAAGCATTTGGAGCTGGATGGTGGTTTTGTTTCGTTCTGTTTTGTTTTTGGTGGTACTGGCGTTGAACCCAGGGCCTTCATCCTGCGGTACCCTCCCACCCGCTTCTAATTTTCTGAGACAGGGTTTCACTAAATTGCCCATCTGGTCTTGAATTTGTGATTTTTCTGCCTCAACTTTTTAGAGTGCTAGGACTACAGGCATGGGTCACCATGCGTGGATGAGGTGGGATTTTTTTGGTGGAAAGATTTTAAATTACTAATTAAGTATCTTGTTATATGTCAGTAGTTTTGATTTTTAATTGTTTTTTCAGGGTATAATTTATGTAATCGTATGTCTCACTTATTTTTGGAGTGGTGGTGCATATCTGTAATCCCAGAAGTCTGCGAAGGTAAAGCGAGAGGGTTGAAAGTTCACACTCAGACTGGGCACTTAGTGACTTAGTGAGACTCAATCTCAAAATATAAAATATTACAAGGTCTGGGGAAGTAGCTCAGTGCAAAAGTCCTGGGTTCCATCCCAGTAACACCCCACCCCCCAAATTATAATCCAGTGGTTTGTGTATCCATCACCATGGTTACCATAGTCCAGGCTGGACTTGAACTTGTTATATAACCCAGGCTGGATTCAAACTTTGAAACCTCCTGCCTCAGCCTCCTGAGTGC